GGGCTGCACCATTTTACATTCCCCAAAACAGTGTATAAGAGATCCATTTTCTCTACAACCTTGCCAACACTTATTATTTTTGGTTTTATCAAAATATATTTCTACACCAGGATTCGTGGCTCATGCCTGTAATCCTAGCATTCTAGGTGGCAGAAGTGGGTGGAAGCTTGAGCTCAGGAGTTCCAGACCAGCCTGACCCAGAGCAAGATGCTACCTCTAAAAATAGCCAGGCATGGTAGCAGGTGCCAGTAGTCCCGGCTACTCAAGAGGCTGAGAAGAGGATTTCTTATTTTTTTTTGGTAATAGACTTTTTATTTCTCAGGACATATTTAGATTTACAAAAACATCACGAATATGCTTCAGAGAGTTACAATATACATAGTTTTATGATAATTAGCATCTTACATTATGATAGTACAATTATAATAGAACAATATTGATATCTGTTCATTAAAGTAGATGCTTTATTCATATTTCCTTGATATTTAACTTTTGTCTCCCTTTACAGACTGTCTTCTCTGAAAGGTCACTCGATGCAGTCCACACTGAAGGAGTGGGGAGTTAGGCTTCATCTCCTTGAGGGTGGATTATCTATAAAAATTATTTAGAATTTTTCTCTCCAGGAGTTTTGTTTCTTTTCTTTTTCTTTTTTTTTTAAGGCTCCTTTATTCCATGAATATTTACAGAACATCAACTATAGGCAAAACATTGACATAATCAATGAAGATAACATTGGGACAAAAATATTAATTTTATGCGGAAACAAAAGCATTATCTACAAATCAATTATGAGATAAGTGTACCACCACTCCTAGTAAAGTTGAAGGTCCTAGCTAGTACAATTATGATAACTTAAAAATCCCAATAGTTTGTAAAAAAAATGCAAATTTCATTGCTTCCGAGTTACCAAGTTACTTGCAAGTTACCAAAAGCAATAGAAAGAAGATTTCTTGAGCCCAAGACTTTGAGGCTGCTATGAGCTTTGAGGCCATGGTACTTTACCAAGGTGACGAAGTGAAACTCTGACTCAATAAATAAATTAATTAAATTAAATATATTTCTTTTTTCTTTTTTTT